GAATCCGATTACCTTTTATCCGTACCTTTCATCGAACTGGGTCATCTGCTCCATTTCTCTCTCCCTTCTCTCTCTCTCTCTCTCTCTTTCTCCTCTCTCTCCCTCGTGTTTCATGGTTCCCTCTCCTATTCTCTGACGTCACGACACTCCTGATACAGGAAATCTGCCGTTACCGCTCGTTTCTTCCAGGCACCCGAGATCCTTGTCATACTAGCCGGCCGCCATTTTCCATAAATGCTTCTACGTTTTACAATCAGCGCCGACTTCGCGACCGGGAAATGGTGTGTCCGCCTGGTTCGTAAACTTAATCGCGAGCGACGGAATTGCCTGCCGGTTCCGTTTCAATGGTCGGAAAAGAGGGGCGCGGGGGTGAACGGGGAGGAGCGGAAGAGGGGCAGGGACGAAGGTAATTTCGCTTCGTCGCGAGAACAATGTTACCCTGACTCTCGTTCGATCAATCCGACAGATATAGTCGCGGCATGACCCAATCTTCGGACGTACAAAGGAATCCGGGGAAGTGACATCAGCAGATTTTGATGTAATTTTCGGCGGAGAGTGGTTCTTAGAATAATATTCGACACGTGCGATCTGTTATCGGGCACTGTTCGTATTACAAGGGTGAGAATTGTACGTCGAGTGTCTTTGCACGTGCTGTAGCTAGTGGAACAGCGTGCCTTACCGAATGTGATATTTTTTAGCACTAGAATTACCGAGCATTTAATACGATTAATATGCAATTCCTATAAAAACTGTAGCAATAGATTATTTTCTGTAACTTCAAACATTCATTATAGTACTCAAATGAAACTATTTTCAAAATCATTTCGAATATTCAGTGCTTCGAAGGTATCAATAATTGCTAACCAAAAAATCGAAACCAGTCATTTTGAGTGGTACGGTAGTTCCAGTGTTAATAGAGAATATTATTTAGAACTCATTCCAATCGTTCAAATAGTATTTCAACATCTACTTTTCTAAATAACTTTATCGAAGTTTCACCAAAATTTGCTAATCTGACTTTAGAGTTACCTAGATAGTTCAAGATGTCTTTCATCCATTGTCATTATCGCGAAAATGATTATTCAATCTATCGACGATCCGACAAACATTGCAAGAAACGTCGATCATCCGTTTTCGAGGAATCGAATATACAAAAATTCATCGCAACACACTCCGGAAAATTCTCAGCGAATTGGTCGGCGTGCTGTATACGTTCCACGTAATCGAGGCGGATATAAACTGGCGGCGTATCTAAACAGTTCCCCCCGTATAAACGACGATCCCGACGTGCACGATTTTATCCCGCTCGCACGGATGTCTCGTTTCTAATCGCGGGACCAGAAAATTCCTTTCTCGCGGGACGAAGTAAGGAATAAATTCAGATAGCGGAACGGTAGAAGTTGAACCGCGCAACGGGTGAATCGAGTATACGCGGGGCGAAGGAATTTTCGTATTGCGTTACGCTATCCCGGAAGGAAAGTCTGACGCGCGAGAATATTTTCTCCGACCAATTTAGCCGATATTTCACGTAACCAATATTCCGCGTAACTAATATCTCGCGTAACCGTTCCGCGTTCTGCCCGACGTTAACAATTTCCCCTCGAATTTGAACGATTTCACGAAACCCGGCAACAAACATGCAACTATCGAAGAGATTCCGATGCTGCCTGGTAATGCAACTTGTCCCGGGGACCGGCCGGGCATCCGAAATCCCGAACTAGAAAACGTCAGCCGCGCTTTTGTCGTCCGCTCCTCGTCCGGAGGAGAGGACGCGGCGCAGGGACGGCCGGAAAAACAGAAGAATTTGGACACGGGGTTGCATATGACGTTCGAATGTGGGTGAGTCGGCTGGATGGTTGGCTGGAGCGCGGTACGGGAGGAAGCTCGGGGCCGGAGGTTGCCTCTGCTGACGGGACGAGCGAGAGTAAGACTAGAATGAGAGGCAAACGTGACGGCGGGGCCGTGATGCGAATCAAACGATTTTACGCTCCAAATTCCAACTCTTTGAATCAACCGGCGCGGAGAGGAGCCCGTAAGAAACGGCGGAAAGTACGGTTATTTCGTTTCACGTTGAACGAAGTACCTGCACATCTATCAAGCCGATTGTACCGTGCGCCCGCTCGAGGATTACCGATCGACGGCACGAAAGTCGTCGATCGAGGTTTTTCCGGCGTTGTTTTTGTTCCGATTTTCGGCCGACAACCGAAACAACCGGCTCCCGCCGACGAATAATTACCGGCGGCGTGTCGTATAATTACGTTTTAATCTACGCGAAACACACGTCGCTGCCATTTCCCCGAACGACAGTGTGCAAATCTTTGCCACGCTTTGTTAAATACAGGGCCCGGTTTATCGTGGCCGTCAGTTAACGTAACATCGAGCGTGTTTTGCTTCGGCGTCGGTGTGCGCGGCGGCATGAGGAACGGAGCTGGTCCCTCATTAATATGAAAATTCTATTTGCAATAGTAAAATAGAGTCGGGCAAACACAGCTGCGCCGCATCGCGTTCTACCGGCGTGGTTTAATGACGCTGCAGGCAGCTTACTCTTGGTCTCTTTACGTCTCACTAATTAGTAAATATGTTTCGTATTTGCCGTGCACGGGTTTTATAAAGTCCGGAACGTTCGCGCGTGTCTGCTATCGCTGGGACCGTTCGGACGCGGCTCGTTTTCTCGTCGGTGGTTTCAGCGCGCTTCATTGGCTCGGAACGGGAACCCCGTCTCTGTTGTTTCTTCGTATCGGAACGCGGCCCGGGATTTAAATATTCCCGTTTTAGTGCTTCTAAGGGAACAACCGGAACGGCGTCTATTCGCATTGCTCGTTCGGGAGTACGGGATGGGTCAGCATCTCCCATTTCAACAATGAACTCGAATAAAACATTCGTTGGTTCGAAGTCACTTTTAAACGACTAAGATTTCAGCATTTTACTACTCGTAGAGAAGGAAATTTCACGTCGCTCAACGTTAATCAGCATTCTCTTGCCATGTAAATGCAGAAAGATGCATAATACACCGTTTTGAACCGTGTAATTTCGTTTCAAATTCATTTTTTTCCATTTATAATCGTTTTAAATGCACGGTACCAGCTGTTGCAGGAATTCTGTGTATTTATATACCTACAACGAACGCTACGGTTTCGCCAGAAACGAAAACATTCGCGGTTCCAAGCGCAGAGACGTTATTAAACGGCGTTATTACAACTATTTCCAATGCCAAACACGTCGGTGTATCGACAACGCACGCAAACATTGCGGGTTAAACGGCGCGTGACGCTATGGGTATCGTAGTTTGCATACAATTAGCTTTCGCAAATAAAGTTAACGGCGTGCGTTCCATACCCGCGAAGGTACGTTCACAGATTCCCGTGTTTGCTCGATGTTTCTCGTCCCCTTCGCCTCCCCGTTCCCCGCGATCGGTAAAAAAAGCGACTTGGACGTCGAACCCGGCCTTTACCTTCGGCCGACGCCGAAGGGTTCGTTAGCCGTGCCGCTTTCTTCGAGGCGAGACGAGCCGAACGGATCGCGAATTGTCATCGTCGCGGCCATTCAACGCGGCCAGCGACCGGGGAAGCGACGCGGCGTGAAAAAAAGTATGCTCAATATTCACCGTCCCCCGATAGAGAAACCGAAGCGTCGGCGTACGCGACGAACGGCCGGACCGGCGAATAGAACGCAACAGAGGAATTCTGTTTATATTCTCTTTGCGGGAACATCGATTCCTTTTGTCCGATTTCCAACGAAATTTATCCTCCGCCGCTTTGAAACGCTCCCGTTCGATCGAGGTTCCCCGCACGGAACTACTCGAATATTTCCAAAAGGAGGACCAGAAGCGCCGAAATGTAATTCACTTTATCGGCTCGCGCCTGTGCAACATCGATCTTCGCCATTCGAGATCTACCCTCCTTTTGTAGTTTACCGGAGTACGCGATGTATAGCCTCAGCCGTCGAAGTACCTTGGATCTCGCAGACGGAGAAAGGTGTTCGACGGTCGAAAGTAATCGAATAATCTTCTCGAGCCTCCGATCAACACTTCGAATAACGTACCTGTCATTACGCTCTCTCATTCGAATTTCTATCAAACCCGCAAGCATATCTTTCCCAACGTCACTTCAAACACACATTCACTCGTGCAACGCCAAGGCTAACGACATTCGACGATCAACCAAATTCCTCCGCACCCGAGTCACTTCCCTCGATAAACCTTCGGAAAACCGTGTCGCAACCGAGAGGTGTTCCATTGCCACCGGCTATCGCGAACACCGTGAAGCATAGGGATAAAAAACGAGCGGAGGAGGACGGAAGAAAGGATGCCCCGAAAAGAATAAAAGTATCGAGGGATATCGAGGATCTATCCGCTGGCGGGCACGCAGACGCGTGCTTTATGATTATGCGCCCCGTAGCGTGACGCGCGCCGTCTGGGAGGACTTTCATTGAGCGGACAAATCCTAGTCGGGGAATCGAGAGGGGAAAAAAAATTGTCGATGCGAAGTAGGGGTGGTTTGAGGGGCTCGAAGCGATGGGCGAAACCGGCGAGGGGGTGGAACGGGCCGGCGGACGGGAGGAGGGTGAGTGTAGCACGGGCAGTCTGCCAGAAAGGACGGGGCGAAAGGTGGGATGAGGTCCGATCGTGGGCATGCGATGAAAGAGAGGGACAGGGATGGAAAGTCGCGATGACTGCTGCCCAGAGCAAGAGAGAGAGAGAGACAGAGAGAGAGGCTAGAGAGTTCCGCGTGGCTGGCTGGGGGTTCATGGCTGGGAAGGGTTGAACGGAGAGAAAGGCTGGCTAGAGAGTTGGCTGGGATACGAGGATAGCGGATTGGGATGGATGGGTTGATTGATTGGGCACGCTTGTATTGTTTCAGGAGGAAGCTGAATCGACGTAACGGTCTACGCCAGGATGGCCAGTTGGCCGCTGAGACTCGCGCTCCTGTCCAGCGCCCTCATCCTTGTCCGTGGTAAGTAAGAACGGGAAATCGGCCGGTCGCCGCGGCGAACGATCCGCCGCGCGGTCATTCCGTCGGCCATTTCGCGCGGCGCGCAATACCGCGGCCGGCAGCTTGTTCCCGGCGTTCGGCGCGGTCGGCCGGGGGGATGGAAGTGCGTTTAGCCGGGTAAATATTTGCGTCGTTGAACGCGGCGCTGGAAAATGAGACAAGCGCCGCGTCTGCTTGAAATGGAAAGTACTCTTCCGCTTTTTTTCATCGCTCCTTTTTTTTCCCCCGGTTGTTTTTCCTTCGGGCTTTTTGTTTAGCGGCGAAGCGACCGCCATTCGAGAGAGATTATTCTGCGCGGCGCTCTTTGAAGGGTGAATTTGATTCCCGCGCGCCGGGCCACTGAACGGGAACGGGGTGGAACGTGATATTAATGTATTTCGCGTCGCGTCCGAGTGTCATGGGGAATAAAACAGCGCTGATGATATGGACGATAGTGTCTGGACGGAGGGACGTTTGGGTTAAATGACCCTCGTTTTTCTGGGGTTCATTATTGTTTTTTTAGTACAGCGGCAGAGGGAGATGCGTTAATTTCGATGTTTTCATACGCGAGCTTGATCGGTAGCCTTTTACCGCTCTAAATGGAGCTAGAACGTCGCGCCGAGAAGTTTCACGGACGTTCCGTTATGGGATTATCACGAAAATGTGAAATTCGAAAGGCAACGGTAATACTCTTTCGTTCAATTAATATAATGCGGAAGTAATATGTGCTCGAAACGAATTAATTGGGAGCGCGTGATAAAATCGGGCTGAACGCCGGCGAAATTCGGTCCACGGTAAATCCAATATTACGCGGGTATCGGGCTCGCACCAATTAAGACGAATGATACTTCGAAATGCAAGCTCGCTCGTACCATTTCGTACTTTTGTTCCGAGTTTTTAGCGAGGTTCCCTGTTAATTACGTATCGCGCCAGCCTTTCAGCTGCGCGGGGAACACCGATAAAGTGTGTATGAAAGTCCGCGAGTCATCCCACGTGAAAGAACATACTTTCTCATCGTGAGACGCGCTAAGAGGATTTCATTAATTTCAGTCCGCGGAGCGCAAGCGAAGTTGGCGCGAAAGTATGCGGATCGCAAACAGAAATCTTTAATATCGCGGTTAGTCGACGCGTCGACTTCGAGGCGGGTCGGTGGTTCCGTTCGGCCTCGTTCTCGAACTCTTTTCCTCGGCGAGCGCCGGCTCTGTTTGCCGCTCGAAGTGTCCGGTGATTGATTTTCTGCCAGTCCACGATCCGTTCGCCATTGCTCACCACGTGACGAAAGTGCCACGGATATTCCGTTTAAATTATGGACGACGGTTTCATTTATTCCCGGACCGACCATCCCGGCCGGCCGCGTAATTTGCAAGGGAAACCGTTCGTGACTTCATGGGAGAGAAAGTATCGGACGCCGAACGGTCGTTTCCGTAAACTTCGATCGTTAATAACTTCCTTCTCTATCGGTTTGCGAATTCGAACGGAGTCAATCGGCTCGCGACATCTGGAATCCCGCTCGGTCGCCGGTTTTCCCGGTGAAATATGATCGCGGGCTGTTCCGAGATCGGCTCGGTCGTGCCCCGAAAGAAAACTTTCCCTCGGATTATGCTAATGGTGCTCGACAAACAGTTGTAGAGAATTTTTCCCCATAACAACCGCGATATAGTCAATAGCCGGCGGCGTTATGGATTCGCGGAAAGTTAGCGGCAGTTCCCCGTTTAAATGGTGTGCTTCGAGGGGCCGCGGCGGAAACTTTTGTGCTCGAATCCTCCGAAGTAATTTCGTCTCGCGGTGACCGAGCTGCCGGCGATGCTTTCCCGTTGGCCGGGGGGGCGGCCGTTTTATTTATCGCGCTCCTATAAACGTCCCCGGAGGTATTAAATCGCCGATAAATTCAGGGCGTTTCGTTTGACGACAATCCGTAGCCGCATTCGGAGGAACGCGGAACGGTCCCGCGATACTTGTTGCAGCGGGTCCTTCGGCTCTCCTGTAATTCCGCGGACGCGCGTTCCCGCTACAAAAACGGGGAATCGCTCGTCGAAGTGGCAACCGGCGCGAAAGTTTATTATTCGCTTTCGGGAAAGTTTAATCCGTCGCGTTTACCGAGGCGATTCGCGAACGCTTTCATTGAATCGCATTTTCATCTGCTAATGAACTCGGAGCGATAAAATATATACCGCGCATGTTTCGCTTTCTTGTAGACCAGCACCGTAAATTCCGTAACTCCGTGAATTGTACAAAGTGTCGCATTCCACCAAAATAATGAGGACAAAAAGGAGGCAAGAAAAAAATCAATTGTTCCAGCGTCTGGACCAGAACACACCCCTCAATCGTCCTTCGCTAACGTCCCTTTCATTCGTCTCGTCCTCTCGAAGGCGCGCCGTTGGCCACAGCGTTGCCGGTTCCCCCTATTACCCATCAATCGATGCAGAAAACACGGAGCACGGTCGCGTACATATATTCTCCCCCGAGTTCGGGGCAAATCGGCTCGAGCGGCATCGGGTTCGAGTTATCCGAGCCGCGAAGTCCGTCTTTCAGCGGCGCTCGATCGGCAACGACGGCAGGAAGAAAAAGGACCGGCGAATATCGGTGTACACTTACATACGAGCACACGTACACGCTCGCAGGCTGTATTGGGTAGAAGCTGGTCGCGGTTGCCAGCCGGTTTGCGGGCGTGAGCCGTCGCGAACAGGAAAATAGTGGAGAAA